GAGGTTGTGCACCAGCGAGGCACCCCTACACCAGCCACCCCCTCCCTCAAGGGCTGCCCTTGTGCTTGGTCTCCTTGAGGCTTGAGAGCGGGGCTCAGCCCAGCCTTTCAGCCAGGGCTGTAGTGGAGTTTGGCCTCCAGCTCGCAGCCTTACTGCCCTCAGCTGGCAAACTCGACATCCTCCACCTCATCCCGCAGCCCCGGCTGAAGTTTCCAAGGCAGAAACTGCCTTTCTCCTGCTGCCTTGGAACCCAGAAGAGCGTATTTCAGAGCACTGATGGGGCAAGCAACATGCAGGAAGGAGGAGAAGTTGTGCTGCTGACTGCAAATGAAGTGCCTTGCTAAAAGACAATCCTTTGTTCATTCAGCTGCTCTGCTCTGACCTCTTTCACAGCCGTCCGGAGCTGCTGCAGTGCGTTTTCTCTTCTCACCGCCTCCTCTTTCAGAGCCTGGCCTGTCCCCTCCTCCTGGGCCACCTGCTCTTCCAGGTTCTGGAAGAGACCACAGGAAAAGTCTAAGTCTAACTCACTTCACAGCAGATTCTCAAGTTCTAGGTTCCTTCAGTCACCTCTCACCTTTACTTGCAAGGATAACTGCTCCATCTTCTTCTGCTGTTTGTCCACGATCTGGAATCAAGAGCAGAGGTGTGAGCTCTGGCCACACAGACTCAGTAATACCACCAGCATTTCTCCTTCAGTAGGACAGCATCCCCTCTCCTCATTCCTGCCCACTTATCACGGCTTCTGATAGTAGTGGACTTGGATTCCCAAATGAAAGGCACCTGATAAAAGGCACCATTAGAAGTAAGAGCTAAAGACAGACTGGAGAAGTTGCATTCTTGTGGTTTTCCTCTCCCCTCTTCTGCATTCTGCAGCTTCTTTCCAGTGTTGCTGTAGGAATGCCTGATTATCACACTCAGAACAGCTTCTACACCCCCTCAGGTTGGAGTCCCCAGAACTGCTGCTTCAGTGCAGTTGTCACTGCCTATGACTGCAAAAGTCCCTGACTTCATTTTAATGCCTGCTGTGACTCAGTGGAAGGAAAAACGTGTGATTCCCAGCTGGGACAGCTTGTTACCTTCCTGAGGCAGTCACATTCTTTCTTCAGAGAGTCATTTTCTATTTTCTGTCTCTCCCCATCCTGGGCAGGGGTTCCTCTCTCTGCATTCTTTAGACACTGCTGCACCTTGTCCTGCAAGCTGAAATTAGCACAACACCATGGGAAAAACACCTTTATTTAGGCTGTTTCCCTCACTAAACAATATGAGGAGACAAATAGTTTTCCTGTCAGATGTCAGCATTGCCCTGTTTGCATCCCAGCCTGCAAGCTGCCAGGGCTGTGACAGGAGGACTGTCCCTCCCCAGGACACAGCCCTGCCTGGGACATTGGCACATCTGCAGAGACAACTGCAGATCATAGAGGTCCCTTTGGCAAGGAGGTATGGCCCAGAACAACAACCTGAGGACACACCCAAACCCAGGTGACAGGCATGCCTCCCCCTTTCTTTCAGCCACGTGGTTCTGCTCCCACCCTCCTCTGTTGGCACACAGAATTTGAACAGTGTCTTGGCAAGCACTCACATAACCATGACAAATCCAGAGTAACCTGGTTCTGACAGGTGGGACAGTGGCTGTGCTGAATCATCCCTGTTCCCATGCAGCTATTCCTTCAGTGCTAAGATGAGGCTTATTCTAATCCTCACAACTTTTACCTGCGTACAGTGGAAAGAAGCTCCTGCTCCTTGTGTTTTTGGGTTTCTAGCTGCATCTCTTGCTCCCTGAAAGCAGCTCGGACAGCTCCAAGCTCTGTTTCCAGTGCCAGCACTGTTTCCTGCATAGCAGAACTCTTCAGTTCAGATTCCTTCAGCTGCAATAAAGACCATCACAAGACTAGAGACCTCCCAGGAGTTTCTCCACACACACATTTCAACTACATTTGCAGTGCCCACCTATGTGGCAATTCTCAGCTACAGCTCAGAACATTCCCCCTCTAAAGACCACAGCTTTACTTGGGCAGCTGCACAGAGGATTATCTGCAGCTGTAGAGGACTCATCTGAGCAAGTATGTGAAAAGCTATCGTCACAACTCAGAGGAAGTTTTACCTTCTCACTCTGTTTCTGGTGGTCCTCAAGAGTTGGTAAGTCAGCCAGGTATCGTTCCAGGGTCTCAATTCTCTGTTGTCTCTCCTTGTTTTGTTCAGATTCCTTCTGGCATTTCTTTTTAAGATTATTAATATGTTTGTCTCTTCCCTTTATCTGAGGGGACAGTTATAGACAAGTTTAGTTTATATAATTTCTTGTCCATTCTTCAGTCCCCTGTAAGCCCCCTCATCTACCTTCTTGTACAACACTCAGCACCAAAACACAAAGATCACCTTAACTCTACAGCATTTCTGCTCACTTAGACAGGCTTCTTTTCTGGTTAAAAATAGAGGTACTGAAATATTTCTAACTGCAGGAGGAAGGGCTTTTGGTTAAAGAACCAAAGAATTCTACAAGGAGATCAGAAAATACCTACAGACTGCCACAGAAAACTTCCATCTAGGCACGACACTGACTTTTAGCTTCTCAAAGAAAAAACACCTTCCCATCCCTAGAGCAATGGGATCATACCCTTTCTTCCTGCTTCTTTAGCTCCTCTGCATGTTTCTGCATCGTTTCCTTCAGCGACTCCCGGATCAGCTTTGCATCCACCTCTGCAGCAGCCAGTTTTCTCTCCAGTTCAATCTTCTCCTTACTGAGGGACTCAGTCTTCTCTGTGAACTGAGCTCGAAGGAACGTGTTCTCCCGCTGCAGCTCCTGCAAACAGAGACAGCCCAGGAATTCCACTAGTTACAAACCAGCAGGATTCTCAGCCCTCCTCATTCCCAGACATCATTCAGCCCATCTTATACACTGCAGTAACTAAAACAGCACTTGTCAGTGCTGTCAGGCATTTGCATCAGCTTCTAAACCGTAGTACTTCAGGGCTTGAAATCTCAAGCCACAGAAGATCTCAGAGATGAGGAGTCAAGGGGAGCCCATACACAGGATAATTTCACTCTGCACAGCCCTCCTAGTCAGGAAACGTGTAGCAAGGAGCAGAAGGGCTGCTGGATGCGAGGCGTTTCTCACTGACACTCTGCTGCACCCAGTTACCTGCATTCTCAACATGTAGACATCTCCATAGGATGCTGGACAGCCAAGCAGGGCACTGTGAACCTGCAGCTCACTTTCCCGGACCTTCTGCTCCAACTGGGATATGTGTTGTCTTTGTCTGTAGAAAACCAAACAGATAACACACTGTTTTCAAACATGCACCTGGTTTTTGACAGCAGTAGAGCAATACAATGTGACCAGTGCCACCAAGACTCTAATGCTCTATGGAGTGACAAGCAGAACAGAAAGGCAACTCCACAACTCAGAAATGACCTGCAGAGGAATAATCTGGAAGATATCCATTTCAACTTTTTTTTTTTAAAATTGGTATTAACTTTTCTTCCCCCTCCCTTCAAAGTCTTCCTCCAAGCAGTGATTATAGATAAAACACACAAGCCTTGCATGCTTTGGAGGATCCAGCTTAGCTGCAGAGGTTATAGTAAAATAAACAGGACTCCAAATGAGCAAGCAGAGAAAGTATTTACAGCCCAAGTGATGAAGGTAGTTTTCAGTCAGACAATTCATCAAAAAAACTCATAGAACACTAGCATTAGATATTAGGAATGTTGTTTGCCAGCCCAAGCTCACAAAGAACAAATTTAAAATAGAGATCTTGAAGAGCTCCCAGAAAGCCCTCAAGCAAAAAGTCAGTAGTTTGGACCTTCCAGATAATCACAAAGTAAGCAGAAATCTTCATCCCTTACAAAACACAGAAAACTGTAACCAAAATTGATTTATTTGAACCCTTCAGGATCACCATCCTGCTTCCAAGAGGAAAGAGTAGATATTGTGGAAAAAAAACATGGGCTGTTCTCAAAGGTCATGATGTTGTTCTTTGCAATAAAAAGAGCTCAGTCAGGTAAAAGGGACTCTGAGATATGAGCTTTCCATGGTACTTCCAAACCCCTCCTTTTCCAAAAGGAAATGTGCTGGAGATGGTTTAAATACAGCTCTCACCTGTCAATGAGAAGCTCCTTCTCCTTGAGTAGGTTTTCATTGGAATTCAGGATATTGATCCACTGGGCTGGATCAAGGGGAGGCAGTGGAGGAGAATACATCGAGGGATGGGGGCAGGCACCTCCATTTTGTAACTGAAAGAGGAGACAAAACAAGGAGGGAGAGGTTTGTGCTCCACAGAGGTAATTGCAACACTGCTAGAGCTATTTTGCACGCTGTGTGCTCATCTGCATGCCAGGACGTAGCTATTTCAGTCCCTGTCGATGTCCAAGAACAAGTAACTTTGCCCAAGCACAACTGGAGATTAACAAATAATTTTAGATCCCTGTGTTAGCTCACTGGAAACAGTTTGTGTCAATTCGAGCACAGCTGGTGGGAGGTGATAAACTGTTTCCATCTAATAAACTAGTTCGTTTTATACATCTTTTCAAAACAAGTCTTGTTTCCTCGCTCTAGATACAGAACACTATTATTCTAGAAACTGTTCAGAACTTCTTGAGGCGCTTTTCCTTCGCAGTTTGTAGCAGACAGGACATTTCACCCCTCGACCTGAACCCTGTGCAGTGCTGTAACACAATACAGGGCTGCTCTACACCAGCAGCGTGTCAAACGACACCTGTGACACCACACGCTGTGACAACAGTTCATTAAGAGACTTTTGGCATAAGACAGGGAGAAGCAGGAGACGTTTCCCCCTTGCTTCATAACTCCAGGATGACGACTCGTGACTAAAGAGCCAGGAAGGGTTTCAAAGCCACTCACACCAGCAGCTCCCTACCTGCATTTGCTCCATCTGCAGTCGCGCTTTCTCCAGCTGTTGTTTCCAAGCACTGAGCTCACAGACCCTCTCGTGTGGGTGCATCGTGCAGCCCTCTGGCAGCCAGGCTCGGGAGGAAGGACTTAGAGGTTTTGAGAATAAATTGTTGGCCTGGAGGCCCGTTGGCATCCTCGTGCTCCCACTGGGCCAGGCTCCCCCCGGGGGCTCACAGGCTCCATCAGCCCCCGCCGCCCGCTTGGTCTCGGGCAGCACCTTGTAACGGTCCCTCCCTGCCTCAGCTGCCCCAGAGGTCGGGTGGGACTTCTGCAACCTGTGCAGGGGGTCAGTGCACAAGCTATCCAGAAAGAGAGACTGGTTCAGGGTGCGTTCAATGGCAGGGGTGTCAAACTTCCAAGTCTCTTCTGTTCTCATGTGATCAGAGACAGGATGCCAGGCTTGCTCAAAACCATTTTCTGCTGCAGTCCTGTAGTGACGCAGAAGATCCCTGGGAGGCACCTGAGAAGACTTCCCAGCATTAAAATCCCCGTTTCTCAGGGGCCCTGCCTGTTCAGAAGCAGAACCTGGCATAGCAGGCTTTGAGGTACTCTGTGAAGAGCTCTGGTCTCCTGCAGAGCACAGCTTGGAGGGTGATGCACCCAAAGTAGAAGGCATAACATGGGCTGTTGGGATGGTCACTTGGGTTTTGATGGGCTGGAATGAGGAACCGTTACTGGAATTGCAAAAGTCTAGGGAAAGCAGAAGAGTGATGATTTAATTACAATTCTGAAAATATTGGGACATGATTAGACACTCCTCTGCTAAACATTTATGAAAGAATTTGAAAACTCAGGTCTTTTCCCCCTGCACACATCCTTCTGAACAGCAGCAGCAAGCCCAAGGCACACCTATGTTCTCCTCACAACAAGTTTCAGGAGCCTGCTGACATTTTCCTACCATCATAAACCACAGGGAGAATCCAAGTTTAATTCAGTACACACTTTCAAACCCTTGTTTTTAAGCTACTCCAGTATAATCTTAAATCAATAAGGTTATCTTTCTATAGGATTAGAAATCAAGTCCTTTAAATTGAATAAAAAGGCAGAAACTTACTCAGCTGAACACTGAGACCTGGATTCTGTTCTGCCCGTCCCACAGCTCAGCGACTCTGAACAGTAACCAAAGCTAACTGGAGCCTTCACTAAGCCCATGATGAGCTTCAATCATAGCTGAACACTAGATCACCCAGCAGTCGACCTTCCAGCTCCTCCAGGGCTCTGCAGCAAAAGAGCTTTTCCTAGTGACTCTTGCCTTTCTGCCACAGGAAGTGAGGCAGCGCCCAGTGCCCGCACCCCGGCGTTCGTACCCACCAAACCTGGCGACATGGAACTCAGGGTTATTCTTAGCAGCTCTCAGGTTTCAATACAGCAACAGCAGGAGCTGGGAAAGGCAAACAGCAGAGTGCCAGTTCCCACTCCTCGTCCCCGCGTATCGCAGGAATTCCAGGTTCCCCCTAGATACACAAACTTGTTTTCCCCTCGTGGGTTTGGCTGAAGGCCCATCCCCACGTGATGCTTCTTTAACCCAACATCAGGACCACAAGGTTACAAGGAGTAAAACTTGAATATGACCCACACTAGATTCTGCAAAGCCTATCATCAAACTGCAGGAAAACTACCACAATAAAGGCACAAGACCCTTGCCTCACAGGAGGAGAAAATCTCTTGGCTGTGCCCAGGAACTCCAGAGAACACCACGCTACCAAGCAGTCACAAGCACATTCACCCTGGCAAACAGAAGGGACAGTACAATTTCCTTTTACAGTCCCTAAATTTAACCACTGGTATCTCTACCAAGAACCTGAGCGGGGACCAGCACGCTACGTGCGGATGCTGCAATCGGCCCCTTGAGTGTGCTAAGGGTCATCACAACAACATTCCCAACGTGGCAACCTGGGAGTCAGAGGCCTCAGCCAGCTGGCAGGGCTGCAGTTCAGCCTCAGCTCCTACAAACGAGGCTACAACTTCACAAACACTCAGGAGGGCAGCTTCCAAAAATCAGTGCTATCTCCCCTGCACTCAGCATGCAACTGGATAGCTTATTATCATCAGAGAGGCCAGATGGGACACTGCAACATGTGCTCCAGTAATATTTCTAGCAGTATTTCCACAAGCCAGACTTCCTAAAAAGCTTTCATTTCACCTGACACATTATGAAGATCTGTGGCTCGCTGCAAAGGCTCAGGGCAGCTCCTGAAATACAAGAATGTGTGAAGTGCCTCATTTGAAAGAGCACCACAAAGTCCCTCACTGCTGAAGAATCAGTCAATAGCAGTTTAGGTGGCTTTCACAGATGAAGATGAAAATACAGGTGGAGACTGCAAGGAGAAGGAATTTCACAGAATGTGCCTGCTGAGGTCAAAGCTGCAGCACTCCAGGCCAGGCTGGACAGAGCTTTGAGCAGTCTGATTTAGTGGAAGGTGTTCCAAGGGAGGTTGGAAGTAGATCTTTAAGGTCCTTTCCAACCCAAACCATTCTGTGATTCTGCAGTGAGAAGCACACAGCTCTGACCCTGAGAAGACATACACACAAAGGCACACTAACCTGAAGTCTTTAGAGGTACCTAGAACTTATTTCTTAAAAACAAATCACACAACAGACTTGCTGATAATATTTGTTGGTCAATACGAACCAGAATCACCAAAATGATTCTTTTAGTCAATTAAAATTGCTTAGTAGTTAGAAAAAAACCAAACTAGCTTAGAGAAGCACTAAGTTCCTTAATCACTTGATATGTTCCAGGCAGCACATCTGTGTACCACTGAGGCACTGGCTTTGAAATAGTCTCCAAACACCACTACACAAAACTCTCCCTGAGTTTTACATTCTAGGGTTCAGTAATTTCACACTATTTAATGCTTGTTGGTCTTATAAGAAAACTTTAAAGTCCTGGGCTGTTCCTGTGTGAGCCCTTGCTGCCCATCACCTTCTGTGCTGCCCGAGCAGGAGGTGCCAATGCCCCCATCCCCACTGTCAGCCACGCTTGAGCAGCGGCCGATGCGGCTCTGGAACTTCCCAGACAGCACAGGAGTCTTCCAGTCAGTCTCCAGGAAATTATTCTTGCTGGGATCTAGAGAGAAAAAAAAAAAAGTCAGGGATATTTATGTTTTAGACTGAAAATTACCCGTAGCTAATTACTCTAGCCATAGCAGAACCCCAATGAATCCTTGCTGGACTCCTCTTCTTGTTTCAAAGGAAATCTCTTTTGTAACAGAAAATGGCAACAAGCACCAGGAGGTCAAATCATGCCAACAGGAGATGGAAATGAAAAGCAGTCTTGCCATGGAAGTCAGAATGCAAAAGCAGCAAGTTATATTCCCTCTGAGAAGTCTGGTAGTATCATAACCAGCTGATGCTCTGTAGTCAAGAGTAAAAGCAGCAGCACTGGCACAGCAAAACTGGTTAAATTGAAGATATATTTTTGCACTAATTTTTAAGAAGTCTTCTAGAGTTACCACTCAAGAGACAGGTTCATCATCAAACAATTCTCTACTCTTGCATACCCAAGCAACTGGTTTATTTTGCAGGAATAAGACAGTGGTTTTTTTCAATAAAAAAAGCTTTTGGTAAAGAACTTTTCTCAGGGCCACATCACCTCAGAGAGACTGAAACAGGATCTGACAGCAGCAGGGCTTTACAGGCAGGACTGTCCTTACCCAAAGGATTGTTCTGCTGGAGCCTTGGGTCTGGATGTTTCTCAAGAGCAGCCATCTTATCTGTTCAGCAAGCTACAGGGCAATAAAGAGAAATCAGATTTTAAATCAGCCACGTTACCTATCCACCAAACCTACAAGTAAAAATCTGACTTCTAAGTCAGTATAAACCAAGCCCTGTTCCCACTAACCAAGCAAAGGAGGGATACACATCACCTGTCTTCATTCAGAGTAACACATTATTTCATATTTAATTAGCACCTCCTCCCAAGAACATCCATGTTTCATCCCCACAGCAACAGAGACAACACTTTAAAGCAGTTATTGTGGGTTTTCTTCATGCCTGGGAAATCTGGAGAGTTTCAGTTTGCAACACTGCCCAGGTACACAGCACTCCAGCAGCACCTTCCAGCCAGGGCCTGTGCTGTCCCCATCAGAATTACAGTTATTTATAGAGCATCAGTCACCACGTACCTCCACGCTGACTTGGTGTCTGTGGAGGCTAAAAAATTCCCTTAAAAAGCCTACACTCTAAGCCAGGCCGTTTCTGCCCTCTGTAGAAGTCACTGAGCAACTACACACAGAAATAGCTGCTCAGAATTCAGCACTGCTGCTCCACAAATGACAATCGTTATCTATCCAGAGCTTTGGTTTAATTTATCTGCTTATCTGCTCACTTCAGACAGTGAATTTCCTACTGCTGATGCAAGTCTAACTTACTGAGGCTTCACTGGGCAAATTCGAGGCCTCTCTCCACTCCCATCAGTTAAACACTAAATCGTTCATTGTAGGTTTTTTGCTTAACTGATTCAAAGAGCTCACAGAAACCATTAAATCTTTGAAAACAGACACACACATACAGACTTTACACCCTAGGATATGCATTGGGAATACAATAGGATAACGAACCAGAAGCAGTATTTCACTCAATAAATAAAGCACTTCTAGTGCTTATTATAGTTAATTTAGGTGCCTTTCAATAATTCCTAAGTTTACATCTCAGCTTCCAGCACAACAGTCAAGGCAGTTGTAACAGGGAAATTCAAACGTGGGCTCTTGAAATAAAACAAAGCAACCAAAGCTCGCTCAGCATCACCCCCTCACGAACACCCCCCAGGGAGCACCCACAGCACCCTACATACCCCCCTTCCAACAGCAGGCACAGGGCAGGCCCGGCTCAGTGGGTGGGAAAGGAATCGGGGGGGAGTGGTGGGTCACGAAGAGAAGGGGAGCAGCGCTTTACCCGGTGGAGGGGAGAGCTTGGTGAATATGTGAAGCCGGAGTGCGGGGGGCAACCCTCCGCCCCTCAGAAGGGGACGAGGGGAACGGTGAAGTGGGTGGAGGAGGGGGAGAGGCGGAATGAGGGGACCTGGAAGGTGCAGCCTGACCCTGAGGGGGGCCGGTCCCTGAGGGGCAAGGG